GTTCTCTCTTTGATTTTTCTCTCTCAAAATAAACTGTTTTATTTAAAAGTGTGTGTATCTCTGACTAAAGTAAAATAACAACAGGTTATGGGCCCAGAAAGTCAGAGCTGTAATATATATATTAAAAATTAATAATAAAATTAAAAATTTGAAAAGTGTTGTGATCCAGAAGAAAACGAACTTATATAAAAGAGAGAAACAATGGCGATGAATGGTCAAGACGAAGTCACGCAGATTGAGAAATTGAAAGACAGCGAAAATTTCTCTATTTGGAAGTTTCAAGTTACGATTCTTTTTAAATCACTTGGGTTATACGAGATTGTCACAGGCTCATTGATGTTAATGGAAAGTAACACGGAACAAGTCAGNGCTGACTGGATCAAGAAGGATGCAAGAGCTCAAAAGATCATAATTTCTACGATTGAGAGACAACCGCTGACACATATATTAATATGTAAGACTTCACACGAGATGTTCAAACGAATCTGCGGCATGTATGAAAGGGATACGCAACAACAAAAATGTATACTACTCCAGGAATTTTTTAATTTCTCATATCAGAAAGATTTAGACATTGGTTCACACGTAAGTAAACTTGAAGCATTAGCATATAGGTTAAAAGTTCTTAATACAGATATTGACGATACAATGTTAATTTCAAAAATTCTTGCTACGTTGCCTGAAAAATATAAGCATTTTATTTGTGCATGGGACTCTACAGGGCACGATGAGAAAACACTTTCTAACCTAACATCTAGGTTACTATCTGAAGAAAATAGATTATCAGTGACGGAAAGTAAACAAGATGCTGTAGCGTTCAAAACAAGTGAAAGAAGATGTTTCAAATGCAATAATTCAGGGCATCTTGCAAAATCATGCAAAGTAAAAGGTAATAANCAAAATAAACAAGATGTACGTTGCTTCAAATGTAATGGACGCGGGCANTATGCAAAATATTGTAAAAAGGAAGTTAATTCTAGTAACGCTTCAAAATGTAGTATTTGCAAGAAAAATAATCATACAGATAAAGACTGCTATTTTCGTAAAAACAAGACTGATGATCAAGAGACAACTAAAGATAAAGTTTTCTTCTCGGCAAGTGTTAGCAAAACTACTGAATGGATTCTAGACTCAGGATCATCATCTCATATGTCAAATGATAAAAATTTATTTACAAGCTTAAAAAAGGTTAAATCAGAAATTGGAACAGCAAAGAAAAGCCAAGTTTTAGAAGCCGGAGGAATTGGAGTTATAGAGACCAACAAAGTTATTCTTAATAAAGTTCTCTATATTGCAGATCTAACTAAGAACTTATTATCAGTTAATGCAATAACAGAAAATGGTGGAAAAGTAATTTTTACAAAGGAAAGAGCTGAAATCTGGAAAGACAACACAAAAATCATAGGTTACAGGAATAAAGAAGGACTGTGGACAGTCAATATTAGTTCAAATACTGAGATCAATGCTCTACTAACACAAGAAGTTAAAACTGCACTTGGTTGGCATCAAAAATTAGGACATCTCGGGAAGGAGAATATGAGAAGACTACAATTGATGTCTGAAGGTATGACTTTTACGGCTAAAGGTATAAATGTTCTTGATAATGTGTGTGAAATCTGTCTCAAGGCGAAGCAAACCAGGTTGCCTTTTTGTAACGACAGAATAAGAGCTACGAGACCGCTTGAGATAGTTCACACTGATTTGTGTGGACCAATAGATCCTTTTACGTGGGATAAGAAGAAATACATGTTGACTTTTATTGATGATTATACACATTTCGTTATGGTTTATTTATTAGAAGGTAAATATGAAGTACCAGAGAAAGTAAAAGAATATACAAATCTTGTGGAAACAAAATGGAATTTGAAGATNAAGAAAAGCCAAGTTTTAGAAGCCGGAGGAATTGGAGTTATAGAGACCAACAAAGTTATTCTTAATAAAGTTCTCTATATTGCAGATCTAACTAAGAACTTATTATCAGTTAATGCAATAACAGAAAATGGTGGAAAAGTAATTTTTACAAAGGAAAGAGCTGAAATCTGGAAAGACAACACAAAAATCATAGGTTACAGGAATAAAGAAGGACTGTGGACAGTCAATATTAGTTCAAATACTGAGATCAATGCTCTACTAACACAAGAAGTTAAAACTGCACTTGGTTGGCATCAAAAATTAGGACATCTCGGGAAGGAGAATATGAGAAGACTACAATTGATGTCTGAAGGTATGACTTTTACGGCTAAAGGTATAAATGTTCTTGATAATGTGTGTGAAATCTGTCTCAAGGCGAAGCAAACCAGGTTGCCTTTTTGTAACGACAGAATAAGAGCTACGAGACCGCTTGAGATAGTTCACACTGATTTGTGTGGACCAATAGATCCTTTTACGTGGGATAAGAAGAAATACATGTTGACTTTTATTGATGATTATACACATTTCGTTATGGTTTATTTATTAGAAGGTAAATATGAAGTACCAGAGAAAGTAAAAGAATATACAAATCTTGTGGAAACAAAATGGAATTTGAAGATTTCAAAACTTAGATGTGACAATGGGCGAGAATATATCAATGATAATCTTGTGACTTGGTGTAAACAAAGAGGAACCTTTTTAGATACAACTACACCATATACACCACAATTAAATGGTAAAGCAGAACGGATGAATAGAACACTTATAGAGAAAACCAGAGCTCTTCTTGCAGATGCAGAAATAGATAAATCTTTCTGGGGAGAGGCGGTGCGTACAGCAGCTTACTTGTCTAACAGAAGTCCTACTAGTGCTGTACAAAGAACACCTTTCGAAAATTGGACATCAAGAAAACCAGACTTATCAAGATTACGTGTTTTTGGTTGTACGGCCTATACTAAAACTTTAACACCTCAGAAGAAGTTGGATGATAGATGCAAAAAGTTTATTTTTGTTGGTTATGCACCAAATGGATATCGACTGTTTGATCATAAAAAAGGAAAAATAATAATCTCAAGAGATGTAATTATGACAGAAGAAATAAAATTAGAAAATACGGTAACAAAATTAAAGACAACTATAGAAGAGGAAGAGGAACAATGCAAAGAAAAGGAAGTTTTTGAAGAAGAAGAAATCAAAAATTCCGAAAGCGAAGAGGATATTAATCAGTTTCAGGATGCGTTGGAAGATTCGCTTAGTGGAAAGGAGAAGACAGAAATACAAAAAGAACAAGAGGAACAAGAAGAGGAATGTGGAAAAGGAAAACGCATAAAAAAATTTCCAAGCAAATACAAAGATTACGTTTTTCTAACCTATGAAGAAGCAACAACAGGAACAGATAAGGATAAATGGTTAAAAGCTATAGAAGAAGAAAAAAAATCTTTAGAAGAAAATAAAACATGGAATTTTGTAAATAAAACTGAAGCGAAAAATAAAAAGATACTTACTAACAAGTGGGTTTTCAAGATAAAAGACAATGGAAGATTTAAAGCACGTTTAGTAATTCGAGGTTGTGAGCAACGTTTTGGAGAAGATTTCGATGAAACATACAGTCCAGTAGTGGGTACAAGTTCTCTAAGAGCACTCTTTGCAATTGCGACAAAAAGAAAACATTATATGATGAAGTTCGATATAAAAACAGCTTTTCTTTATGGGAACTTGAGCGAAGAAATTTTCATGGAACTACCCAAAGGTTACAACCAGAATGATAAAATTTGTAAACTGAATAAGGCGTTGTACGGTTTAAAACAAGCTCCCTTGGAGTGGAATCAGCGTTTTACAACTTTTCTTCGAAGCAGAGGATTAAAACCGACAAAGGCAGAACCCTGTATTTTNAAGTCTGAAGACAACACGCTGATCTTGGCTATCTACGTGGATGACGGTCTTGTATTAGGTTCTAATAAGAAAAAAATAAACAATCTGTTATGTGATCTAGGTAAGGAATTTCAAATGACAATATGTAAAAATGTTAAATCCTTTTTGGGTATAGATATTCAATGTGAAGATGGTTTTCTTAAGTTAAAACAGCTAGAGTATACTACTAATTTAGTAAATAAATTTAATATGGAAACTTCAAAACCGGTAAAAACACCATTGTTAACAAATGATTTATGCAGTAAAGTAACAAATAATTCTTTTCCTTATCGNGAATGTGTAGGCAGTATTTTGTATTTATCCAACAAAACTAGACCAGATTTAGCNTTTTCTGTTGGTTTTGCTAGTAGACATTTGAATGAGCCAACTCAACAAGATGTTATGAATGTTAAAAGAATTTTAAGATATATTAATGCAACAAGAGATTTAGGAATTTGTTATTACGAATGTAATGATTCTGAAGNGGAAGTTTTGACAGCCTATACCGATTCAGATTACGCAGGTGATGTTGAAACCCGAAAAAGTACAACAGGCTATGTAATTNTGTACTCGGGTGGACCTATAAGCTGGTGTTCTAAAAGACAGCCGATAATAACCCTGTCAAGTACAGAAGCTGAGTACGTAGCGGCAACAGAATGTTGTAAGGAAATTTTGCATCTCAAATATCTAATTGAAGAATTAACGGGTAAATCAGTTAAAGCTACGTTAAATATAGATAATCAAAGTACAATTTGTTTAATTAAAAATGGTATTGCCAACAAAAGAAGCAAACATATTGATGTAAGATATAGATTTATAAATGATTTAGTTAGAACTGGATCACTAAAT